AAAATAATTTTAATTACCAGAAAAAATATATTGTAACATTTTCTTAACCAGTAACTTTCTAGTTTTATCAATTTTAAATTTTTGAAAAACATTTTGTACAGTTAACATTTATATACCACTTTACCATTGTCGGTATTTTCTAAACTATTTTTTACATGTCCTAACAATAAGATCTCAAAACTAATTCTTAAAGGAAAAAGTTTTTATCTTGTTGTTAAAATTAGATGATTCCAGATTAGCCATAAACAGTTGATTACAAATGGACCGTTTTGAGTTTTTGTTTTAAAAAAGATGGCAAATATTCAAGTTTTAGTGCGCATTTTTTGTACAATTATTTTGCAAAAATATTTCAATACAAAACTTTTTTTTATTTCTTGCTAAATAGTAACAATACTTTTGTAATTGGTAATTTTGCAAAAATATAAATATATTATTGTTACATTTCAAGGTTATGTTGCTGTTACATCTCAAGATTGCTTTCAAATAGTACAATTAACAATGTTAATAAAATTAATAATTACAATAATATTTTTTAATAATTAAAAAAAGTAACAATAAAAATAATAACAATGATATAATGGTAAATAATTTATAATTATAAACATTAAAAACATTAAAAAAAAATAAAAAATAAAATTAAAAAAAAAAAAAAGTAAAAATAAGGACAAAATTTAATATACTTAATATATACATAAGAAACACTCACAAATATATACACGTATGCATATAGACACACACATACACACGCACGCACGCACACGCACTCATATATAGATAAATAGATAGATAGATATATCAGAGCCTATTCTGAAAAAATTTTTTTGGCGGCGGTACTACGCTATTGAAAACGGTCTAGAACAGCCCATATATATATATATATATATATATATATATATATATATATATATATATATATATATATATATATATATATATATATATATATATATATATATATATATATATATATATATATATATATATATATATATATATATATATATATATAAATTAACATCTCACTTACAATAACAACGAAATTGCAACAACACTTTTTTGAACTTATGAAAGATAGTATACAAAAGTACTACAATAACATAAAGAAGTTTTTTCTTCAAATTATTTTTCTTTTGAAATTAGTTTTAACATTGTTCCTTACTTCTCTTCTTTCTTTGACGTTGTTGTTGTTCTTTATTTTTGAAAAATTTTTAGACATAAAAAGGTAAAATAAACTTTAATTATAAAAATTAGTGAAAAACTATGCATGTAAAATGGTAAAAAAAAGTAATGTATTTTTACATTCTGCGGCCAATTGTTTCTAACTAATAGTTTATTATGAATGGTATTTTAAAAAGGTATGATAAGTAGGTAAGTAGATAACACAGTTTTTGTTGTGATAAAGTATGTTTAACACACATGCGCTTGACAGGTGGAGCTGGCTTCTTGGTTTCACATTGTGGTACAATGACTAATACAAAAAAGATTTATCACAAAAAAGATTTGCTTATTTTTGTACAATACAATCTTTATCATTAAATTCACAAACATAAGGATAAAGTTCTTCAAATCATTTGTATTGTGACACAAAAAAGTAAAAATAGCTTTATATTTTTATTAATGGCACACTTATACAAAATGACACACTTATACCACATGTGTTTGAGAAACACAAGTTAAAACGTTTAAACATAAATAAATCATGTCGGATAGTTAGGCAGACAAAAATCTTGACCTACTAAGTTGTTCTACAAAAAGAACATCTAATAAAAAGTGGAACTAATTTTAAGATAACGTATTGAAACCTAAATTGTTTTCAATCGATTATAATCTTTTTTATTTTATGGACTTTGCACTCCATCAGTAAATTGTCGTGTTGCCTAACGTTAGCCCTCCATTTCTGGATTCTTTACTTTTCTTGATAGGCAGTTTAACTAATGTTATTTAATATTAGCCCTCCCTTTCTGGATTCTTTTTTTTTTTTTTTTTTTTTTTTTTTTGATAGGTAGTTATGCACAAATATTTTCAAAACATTTTATAATTTTTTTTTACTTTAATTTTTTTAATAAATTTTAATAAAAAAATAAACAAAACAAAATATAATACAATCAATAAAGTCACAACTAAAAAAGTAACAATCTAAATCACCTGAAAACGCACTCAACAAGGAAACTCATACTTCATTTGCTATTTCAATTAATTAGGAATTAATTTAAATAGAAAATGAAGTATGAGTTTCATAGTATAAAACAATCAATAGTAATAATTTGCTAATAAAAAATGATTTTCACAGTTTATATGTTTGAAACAATGAGTATAAACATTTTGCTATTAAGAAATTATTTACACTTAAGAAATACTTTTAAAACAATAATTAATCTTTAATTCATAACTTCAAAATTTTTATTTGAATAAAAACTCTAATTTTCTGTCTCCTTTGGATGCAAATATTTCAATTACTCTGTTAATATCAGGAACTATTTCCAGGTGAATAGCAATTAAA